AAACTCTAATCCACACACACTGCCATTATCAAGGCCCAGTGTGCCCTGTCCTTAAGACATGACCTCTTACTGCCCACCTGGCTTCTTAACAATAGCCCAGGGGCAGCTACTCGCTCATATTATTAATCAAGCATAATGTTTAACCCTAACCACAACTGTTAAAACACATGATTACACTCATCACTAGCATTACTTTAACTACACAAGTTTAAAAAAAAAATGCACGTGTGAAACTCAAATAAAGATAACACAGCTAAATTAACTAAATTTACTAGTGTCTTAAAAACAAGTCTAACGTCTCTTTGAGGAAGCCTCCTTGATGACGATATGGAGATTATCCTCACACTGAACTAAACACTTTTTAACTGTTTATCTGTGCCACCGTCAGATATGCACCGCTCACATCCTAACAGTATGAGTGCTACAGAACTTTTCCCACTATAACATCATAGACTATGTTGGGAATGCACACTACTTTAATATTTCCTGAAATATATGGGGTGCTGATCGTGACTAGAGCCTTCTCTCCTTTTAGCCTTGCATCATTCAATAGAACAACCGTACATCTCTCTCCTGTTAACTTACTGTCATCAACTAAGTCTTTCCTAACAACTATATCACTACACAGATAATGTCTAAACACTTTAACCTTTTGGTCTTCAACTAACCCAAATACACTTTCCTTCACTCCGACACCAATAGAAATTCCTCCTATTAGAATTTCATCTTCACTATCATTTCCTTTTTCTTCTTCGTACTTAATTTTACGTGTGCTATTGTTATCCTTCTTTACTAAAGACTTCTCTCTCTTCTCTATACACTTCTTTTCCTGTCCTAATCTGAAACACGTGGATACCGTTTTCACATCTCTGCAACTCGAATTTTTATCATCCTCCGTGTCACGGACGGCTGGGCAATTTCTCACGACATGCCCCTTTTGGTGACACTTGTAGCAACGCCCCTGAAATTGACACCTCACGGCGGTGTGGCCTGGTCGTAAACAGCTGAAACAGACCCGTGGCCGTTCGCAGTCTCTGGCTAGGTGTCCACTTCCATAACAACGAAAACACCGGCGCTCGTTGTAGCAATCTCGAGCCAGATGACTAGTTGAGTAGCATCTGTAACACCGCCGTGCGTTAGTGCAGTACCTAGCAATGTGACCTGCACGATGGCACCTGTAGCAAAGTGGTGCGTCACACTGCTTCACTTGGTGGTACGCTGCTGGTCTCCAGAAATCCGACTGTCTGCACAACACTGACGTCATGTCTCCCTTCACACCTGTTGAATCCTAGGGACGTCTGTTCTCTATCTCTTTTACGTCAGCTTTGTCTATCTCCTGTTGCCTAGACCCCGGAACGAGCCCCCAGATGTCACAGAACGGTTGTTACGGAGGAGGGCTCCGATCCTGACTTACCACGAACTGTGTTGACTAAGTAGTGGTCAGTACAGGACCGCTCCTCTCTGTGATTTATATTGTGGGTGTCTAGGCGTTGAGACAGACAAAAGCACAAAGTAGACTTGGACGAAATGCAACAACTCAAAACTTCTGGTGTCCAACGATAATGAAAGTGTTTATTGGTAAGATATACGTTTTTCCAGTCATCTGTCGTCTTCTGGTCTCTAGCAAGTATTCCTTCACAACTGCTCAGTTCTATCGTAGCTCTTTTCTCTCTCTTCCTCAACTAATCCGTAGTTCTTCTCTATCTTCCTCAACTAACTAATGTCGCTCCTTTCCCTCTTCCTCAACTCGTCGTACCTCTGTTCACTCTCCCTCAACTAACCTAACTCAGTGAAAGCTCCCTCTTATATTTGGTTCTCTACCCCCCATAGGTGGTCCAGGAATGCTATCTATAAACACACCCCTGCCCCCTAATTTCCGGTCAATTAGACCTTCCCATTGTTAACCCAAAAATTATCATGCGAAGTCTTGAAAACCCGAACATACTATTATCCAAAGAAACAATCCCCCACTATATCAAGATGTGAGAGTCTATTAACCTTAACTTAACCCCATTAACAGCAGTTTCCTTCCATCCTATAAGTTACTTTAACAACATAACCCGAACATACTATTATCTAAAGAAACAATCTCCCACTATATCAAGATGTGAGAGTCTATTAACCTTAACTTAACCCCATTAACAGCAGTTTCCTTCCATCCTATAAATTACCTTAACAACAATGCAGCTTTATCCTGTACCCCCGCCCCAGTCATTTGTGACAAATTCAATGACTACTAACAAATCAATGAATATACAAACAAATCAATGGTTATACAAACAAATCAATGACTATACAATAAAAATCAATGACTATACAAAGAAATCAATGTCTATACAAACCAATCAATGATTATGCAAACAAATCAATGATTAAACACCTGTGTGTATCTAAACCATCCAATGACACTACACTTGTGTGTTTACAGGAAATGTCCAACCGAAGTGTGTTCGCCCTCTGTGTGGCCCTGGGGACAGGCGTCACGCTGGTCATCATGGTCCTCGTCCACGCTGGATGGACATCACAGATGTCCTTGCCCTTTCTGTCAATGCGCGAGAGCACCAGCCAGATGAAAGGTAACTGGTAAATGTTTGGTATACGTGTTAACGCAAGTTGCGGCGGGGGGGGGGGGGGGGGGGGGGGGGGGGGGGGGGGGGGGGGGGGGGGGGGGGGGGGAGGGTGTTGTTTCTTGACCCTTAGCGTTTAAAGGGAAGTAGGGATGAGTTCTTGCCCATGCTTGTATCCCTATGTGACTCATTACATCATTAGTAGGTGAAATAAATCTGCGGTGTAACATCGGGTGGGTCCTTCGAATATTAATATAGTTCAGGGGCGCGGAAAAAAACAAAACGTGCGGTTGAGAAAAATATTGGGAGGTAGGGAGGGAGGGAGGGAGGGGGGCACTAATTTGGATTCTTTTAAACGCTGTACTTAAATGCTATTTTGAGTTAAATGGTACTTAAAAAAACGTTAAAAGTTCATTCAAGTACAGCCGGCTGATGCCGCAGTAAATAAATAAATAAAAAAATAATTAAAGGTCCATTTTGTACTTGAGATTATTTTATGCTGCACATCTGTCTAATCCCCTGTTGTGTTATCATCTATACCAGTGGTTCTCAACCTTTCGAGTGCCGCGACCCCTTAATACTGGTTCTCGTGTCGTGGCGACCCCCAAGCCACACAATTATTTTCGTTGCTACTTCATAGCTGTAAGGATATATGTTTTCAGATGGTCTTAGGCGACCCCTGGAAAAGGGTCCCGCGACCCCCAAAGAGGTCGCGACCCACAGGCTGAGAACCGCTGATCTATACCTTTACCGTTGACGAGTCTAGCCAAAGTGGGGAAAACATAAAGCCATTTACACACTTTGTCGATAGACATTCCGTTCTAGAATGCCTTGATTTTGCGTTTGGGTTGTGACAGATTCATTGGCTTCACGGCAGACCGTCGGGAACAATTCATTAAAAAGTTGGAAGGTCCACTCAGGAAGCATCAACAATTAATCCAGAACTCAGATATCATTTAAATCATGGGAAATCGATCGCTACCTCCACGCTACAAGAATGAAAATCTCACTTTCTTAAATATCAGCTGTTTTTTTTTTTTCTTCTTCTTCTTTCTCAGGTGATTCGTCCAAACAATTAGCTTTAAAATGCGACCCGGCTGTCATGGCAACAGGACCGACTACTCCGAGCAAACCCAAACTAATGCTCTTTCATTGGTTCCCGAATTACTTCACGGAGCTGAAACAAGCCTCGGGCTTCACGTTCTTCAACACGTGCGAGAGCAAATGCGAGATGACGATTGACCCCGGCCGGCTGACGGAGGCCGACACGGTCGTGTTCTACTCCCATTACATCCACGCCAAGCGACACCCTGCCCCGCCCGCCAGGGCGCCCGGGCAGCGGTGGGTGTTCTTCGCCCTGGAGCCGCCCCCGCTGACCGCGAACACCGCCTTCGAAACCCCGAACTGGCTGGGCGTTTTCAACTGGACCATGTCCTTCAGGCTGGAATCGGAATTTTGGATTGGCTACGTGCTCATGACCCGGAAGGCGAACCCCGCGCCGGAAAAGAAAAGGTCGGAAGACGTCCGGAGGTGGAAGGAGAAGTTCGCCAACAAGACCAAGCTGGTCGCGTGGTTCGTGAGCCACTGCGGCATGTCCAGCCAACGGGAAGCGTACGTGGCGGAGCTTTCCAAGCACATCCCGGTGGACGTCTACGGGAAGTGTGGGAGCCTGAAATGCGACGACAGGGGGCAGTGCTACCGGATGCTGGACAGGGAGTACAAGTTCTACCTGGCGTTCGAGAACTCGTTCTGCCGAGACTACGTCACGGAGAAAGCTCGCGTGATCCTGGAGATGAACACGCTGGTCCCCGTGGTGAGGGGCGGGGCGGACTACAAGCGGGACTTCGCGCCCGACTCGTTCATCGACACCGCGGACTTCGCGTCGTCCCAGAGTTTGGCCGCCTACCTCAAACAACTGGCAGCCGACGAGGTAAGTCGTGTCAGCGTGGTTTGCTAGAGGGAATGATTGGAAATTTTCAAGTAAAGACGTTTTAAGTGGGAATGTGCACGTGAAGAAGTTGTGAGGGGTAATGAACAAGTAAAACAAAAATAAAAAAAATATGAGTGGTAATGTATAAATACAAAATTTCAAGTTAGTGGAAATGGTGAGGGGTAATATTTAAGTTAATCAAAATAATGGGGGGGGGGGGTTAATTAAGATTGGCAGTATACAAATAATGGGTGGTAATTATGATTGGCAGTATACAAATAATGGGGGGTAATTATGATTGGCAGTATACAAATAATGGCGGGTAATTATGATTGGCAGTATACAAATAATGAGTGGTAATTATGACTGGCAGTATGCAAATAATGAGTGGTAATTATGACTGGCAGTATACAAATAATGAGTGGTAATTATGACTGGCAGTATGCAAATAATGAGTGGTAATTATGACTGGCAGTATACAAATAATGATAATTAATGCATTGTTAAGTACAGTTCAGACTGGTAATGTGTACATTTAAAGATAATGACTGGTAATTAGCAAGTTATTAAAACGAATACCTGAGAATATTATACACATGATCAATCATGACTTCAATGCACTAGTTTTAAGACGTATTGATGTTTAAAAAAAAAAAAAAAAGTCTAACTTCTTTATTTGCAGGGTGAATACTTAAAAAAGCTTCAGTGGTCCTGGAACTATGACGTCACGAAACCTGGGTTCCCCCTCTGTGAGCTGTGTAAAAAAATGCACGCGACACACGAGAGCTCGTGCGTGTACAAGAACGTCATGGACTGGTGGAACAACGGCACGTGCCACGTCAGGAAAGACTTTTGAAGGAATTGGTGTCTCCAAAAATGGAGACAGTCAAACAAAGCAAACATTTTTTTCTCCACACCTTGAAGAGTACCACGATCAGAAGGATGGAATAAAGATGTGTTTTTTTTTTTTCAATGACATGATGGTGGATAGGATTTTTGGATGTTGCCGAAGGAAGGTGTGACCAGATGGCAGATTGACGGATGTGACCTGATGGGTTGTGGACGGATGTGACCTGGTGATAGGTGGAGGGATGTGACCACATGCCAGGTGGAGGGATTTGACCCAAAGCCACGAAGGTAGACGGGATCTGACGACAAGTGAATGGATTGGACCCGATGGCAGGACGATAGATTAAACCTACTGATGCTCAGCAGGTAGTCCAACCTTTACTATCCGTTCCCAATGTTACAAACTGCCCCTAATGTTACAAGCCAATGTTACGTACATATCAACCGGTTTCATAAACAACCAAGCACTACAATGACAGCATGATATACTGGGAACATCGACCAAGCACTACAATGACAGCATGATACACTGGGAACATCGTCCAAGCACTTCAATGACAGCATGATACATTGGGAACATCGACCCAGCACTACAATGGCAGCATGATACATTGGGAACATCGACCAAGCACTACAATGACAGCATGATACACTGTGAACAGCTTCACATTCATGAACTCTGGGAACAGCTTCACATTCATGATTTTGGCTGTGCCTTTGCATAAATTGTACACGTAGCCAACCAAGTGAGGGAGTCCGTTCGCCCCAGGTGGCACTTCTCACCTTATTTTGAGGGCCACTGCTCCTCTTATGGATGTCAATAACGGATGTGCACCTAGATCTAATTTTTATTATTCGAGATTAGTGCCACCTCTGTACAGTTGTTTGCAACACTGAGCTCAATCTTGTTTGAACACTTATTTCAACTTAGTGCAGAAATTTATTTGAACACTTATTTCAACATTTTACTAAATCTCATTGAACACTTATTGCAACATTTTACAAAATCTCATATGAACACTTATTTCAACATTTTACAAAATCTCATATGAACACTTATTTCAACATTTTACAAAATCTCAAATGAACACTTATTTCAACATTTTACAAAATCTCATGTGAACACTTATTTCAACATTTTACAAGATGTCATACGTACACTTATTTCAACATTTTACAAGATCTCATATGTACACTTATTTCAACTGAGCATACAATCTCGCTTGAACGCTTTATTCTACATTGTACACAGTCTCCTTCGAACACTGAATTTAACATTGTTCACAGCCATTTCGAACACTTTTTACAACACTGCGCGCTACATCATTCAAACGCTGTTTATTTCGACCGTGGATGGACATGCCACTCTCTCGTGAGCTCAGGGCATACACGTGTGAAATCATAACACTGATCAAACCTCAGACGGACGTACTGTCCTGGTTGGGTCCTATCGTCTTGTTAACATACTTAGACTGCTCTCTCACCCCCTCTCTCATCAGAACCTTTCCTACTCCAGGAATGACATCGCAAACCTCTCTGTTAATGGATTTTTTGAAATGAGTTCGTGTTTTGGTGTGGAGATTAATTACGCAGCAGCTGCTGTATGTTTTGTGTTTGTGACGTATGTGTGTAGGAGAGATGACGCTGTTCGTTGTTATTTTTTTTGTGTGGCTAGAGTAGGTGAATCTCAAACAGAAAGCGGCGGAACGAAGACACGCCATTGTTCAGTAAAGAACCATATAATGTATGGTTGATCTGGGCGTTGTTACTCGTGATTAAGCCAGGTCTAGACAAGGCGAGTGAACTACTTGTGCCGTTAGCAGTTCGTAACACTCTCTCACACACCGTTATATTTCACACATGCTGTACCTTATCCGACCACTGTTCTAATGTTGTATCTTATAATGCCACTGTTCTAATGCTGTACCTTATCATACCACTGTTCTAATGTTGTATCTTATCATGCCACTGTTCTAAAGCTGTACCTTATCATACCACTGTTCTAAAGCTGTACCTTATCATACCGCTGTTCTAAAGCTGTACCTTATCATACCGCTGTTCTAAAGCTGTACCTTATCATACCGCTGTTCTAAAGCTGTACCTTATCATACCGCTGTTCTAAAGCTGTACCTTATCATACCGCTGTTCTAAAGCTGTACCTTATCATACCGCTGTTCTAAAGCTGTACCTTATCATACCGCTGTTCTAAAGCTGTACCTTATCATACCGCTGTTCTAAAGCTGTACCTTATCATACCGCTGTTCTAAAGCTGTACCTTATCATACCGCTGTTCTAAAGCTGTGCTCATTAAGTTGAATTTCATGCATATATTTATTTCCTTTTGTAATCACTATAAAAAAAACAAAAAAGCGGAAATTTTATTTTGACCTGTTTATAAAAAAAATAAATAAATATTTATACACATAAAACATATTTGAACGAACAAGATAACTTATTTGATATTTGAATTGAATGTGGACATTAAGCTTTGATGCTGTTATTTGATGCTGAGTTGAATGTGGACATTGAAATCTGCACCACCGTCCTGTCTTCGTCCTGTCTTCACCACCGTCCTGTCTTCACCACCGTCCTGTCTTCACCACCGTCCTGTCTTCACCACCGTCCTGTCTTCACCACCGTCCTGTCTTCACCACCGTCCTGTCTGCACCACGGGGCACAGATTATTATTTAGTATTATAATGAACAACAAAAAAAACAAAAAACAACAACCTCATGTGTCACCGCAACAATCCCGACAGATATATATAAACAACGCAACCCCACTGTCATCACTGGCATTACAATATGTCCAATCAACCTCTGCCGCTTAGTAGAAAGGCCGGTTAGTAGAAAGGCCGGTTAGTAGAAAAGGCCGATTAGTACAAAGGCCGGTTAGTAGAAAGGCCGGTTAGTAGAAAGGCCGGCCAGTACTGCACAATCCACTGAGTTCTGTACGTGGCATTTTTTACGTGAATTGAGACGCATGTGTGACGTAAGTACGCCTTACCCGCTTGTACCCGCTCCTCGGTTAGCTGAACGTGTCTCGGTGATCTGCACCGAGCTGCTCCTGAGTTTCCTTCAGCTGATACATTTCCCCGTCGTTTCCATTTGTCTGATGTTGGGCCTACTCATCAAACAACTTAAGACAAACAGCAGACCGCGTGTCGAAGCTCATTAGGCCTTCTCCAACATATTCCTCTCGCACCCCCCCCCCCCAAACTACAACCTGAATAGCGGAATATCCGCGGGCCACGAAGCCGCACGCTGGAGGTACTCCGCGCCACTGAGACAGCCCCACCCGCCGTCCACTCGCTTGATCAAGCAGGTGGGGAGATATCAACAAAGGAGCACCTGGAAATCGAACTAATAATGAGATGGATATATTTTAACCCCCCTTCCCCCCCCCC